TCTTACCGGAATGCTTATCCTATCTGACAGTTACAAAGCTTTCTTTTTCTCTTCATTTTCAATACAGGTTTAATGCTGGTATCTGTGCAAGGCAGATGAAGAACAGAGCCCTTGCAAATTTACATACATAGCAAAATAAAATTATATTTATGAAGACACTAAAGAAGGGTATCTCATTATGCAAAATTCACAAAGGCACTTTACAAAAACCCTGGAGTCCATGTTTGTGTGAAAAAGCAGGATTTAGGTTAGTTTGGGCCATAACAAAATCTGCATACTTACCTGTAACCAAAGAAACTTTGAGGCCAGCAGGGATTTGCCATAACGTATTCTGTTTTAGAATAGGCATCACAATCACCTGTGTGGCTTTCTGACACTTTGACTCACATGCACATGCTGGGGCCCAACCTCTGAGAAGCTCTCAAGTAGGCACAGATTGTTCTGATGTCCAACCAGTATCTAAACAAATATTTGCATGTCTATTATACAGTGTATAAGGAGGCACTTTGCTTCGGCTACTTAGGGATTCAACAGGGAATTTTTGAGCCTAATGAAGAAAAATACAATACTTTGAGAATGACAGCATCAAGCTATTGCAATGACAAGAATGTAGCCATGAATGCTGACTGGGGAAATAGAGGAGGTTTCTTAAAATGAAAGCCATCTGTGCTAGGCCTTGAAAGATACAGAAAATATTAACAGGAAGGGTGTGACAAATGGAGAGAACAATAAGAGTACAAGTAAGCTGAAGAAGAGATTTTGAGTAGACAAAGTCACAGATGACGTGGCTGATATCTCCCAGAGAGGAGTTAGTGAGAGCCAAAATATGCAAGAGAAGATATGGCTAGGTTATCAGGGGCCTTGAATGTCACTCTAAGAAGTCTGTACAAACAGGTATTTGAGCATAAGGTAAACGCTCTGATCTATATTTAGGAAGAGCATTGCAATGTATGAATCAAATAGGGGGTGGATGAGACCACAAAAACCACTGGGAAATTTTGCAATGTATCAAGCAAGAGACAATGCAAGCGTGAATTAGGATGGTGGAAATGTAAAGAAAGGGATGTATTTGATACATGTGGAGGTAGAATAGAAACGAGCCATTGAGGAAATGACAGAGACATCTAAGTTGATGCCAAGCACCCAGGACAATGATTGCCAAATGGTAAGTGCTCAGTAAATATTTGGTAATGAAATTCAGGAAGTCTCAGATGTTTCCTGACATATGTTATAGCAAAAGAGTAGGGAGGGGATGGAGGAGGTAAGGTTTAGTGAGAAGCTGTATGAAGGGAGGTGAGAAATAAAAGGGAGTGAATGCAGATTACAGTTTGGATTTAGAAGAGAGAGAAAAGACACAGTACTTCAGAGAAAAATAAACCAGATGCAAGATTAGTTAGGAAGTGAAAAGAGAACCTTAGCAGGCTAAGAAAGAAAACAGTAGATAAATAGAACTGAGGAGATGAGAAGGAATATCAATTACAGAATATCTTCATAAAAACAGAGCCAAAATTCGTGCATGTATCTATGATATAAAATTATATAACCCTTTCTAATTGTAATAGCAGATGAACCTGGTAGTTTACTTTCTTTCAAGCCTTAGCTTTCCTCTCAATTCTATCCCCCCATGCCTTAGAGCTTTTCCTTTATATGAACCTCCATAACAAAACATTCATTCCTAATACATATTCTATCCCTGGAATAATAATATGATGTTTATTCAAAGGCACCTGTAGAAACTTGAGTAAGTAAAACAGATGATCCTAACCAAATCCATCAGAGGGCACTTAAAATATGTGCTCCCAAAGATCCAGTGCATTTAAAATGACACCTCCACATTCCCTAATACTAGAAACATTGTGGAATCTTATGAACTGTAAAATACCAAGTTAATTAGGTTGTTGAATTACAACCACTTTCCAAATTAGCAAGGCAATGATATTAATATGTTAACTTCTCTGCGCTGATGGGGTAAATAATCTATGCTTTTTGTAGCTCAGTTTCTCTCATAAGATGAAGTTAGAACAGACACTGAGCTGTAAGTTATTTTTCACCTTACAAATTAAATTTATAATAGAATCGATACAATTATTTAAAAATCTATGCAACTCACCTTGTCTCAATTCAGTAAATGGGATTTGAACAAACAAAAAGAAATGAAAAAAAAGACTGATAGGTAATCCTCATCTGCAGAAAAAAACATGTGGACATATTCATCTTCAATTCATTAAAACAACTGAGATTGTAAGATTCAACTGCAAAATGAAAGTGCTTGGGATGTTTAGTATGCTACATGAACAAGGCTTCTTAAAATGCACGAAACAGATTGGGCCGTCTTTGAAAAAGCTTGTTCCTCCATTTTGAATGTAAGTAGAACCTAATTTCGCAAGGTTCCCATTTTGCCATAGTGTTTAAAACCACATCTAATGACCATTATTTTGTTCAACAACAATTTCATCCCTAAAAATGTCTCCCAAAGTAGTTCTGTCTCTTAGAATGTATGGAATCAAACTTAATGAGAATGACTCTAAACTACTAAGAACCTAAGAGAAAATGTTCTTCAAAAAATTTCACCAATGGTGGGGCGTGGTGCCACACACCTGTAATCCCAGCACTTTGGGAGGCCAAGGCAGGAGAATCATTTAAGGCCAGGAGTTCAAGACCAGCCTGGCCAACATGGAAAAACCCCATCTCTACTGAAATACAAAAATTAGCCAGGCACGGTGGTACATGTCTGTAATCCCAGCTACTCAGGAGGCTGAGGCACAAGAATCACTTGACCCAGGAGGTGGGGGATGCAGCGAGCGGAGATCATGCCATGGCACCTTCAGTCTGGGTGACCCAGTGAGACTCTGTCTCAAAAAAAAATGTCTCAGTTGTCATCTGAATTGATATTACTTAAAATAATCTGACAAGGGGAGATTTCCTATCAGTTAAAAAAAATAATAGGATTCATAGAACTCTAATTTTAAAAGTATGTGGGGCCTCCTGGTTCTGTTTTTCTCTCATTTGTCTTACTTCTGCTGTCCCCTTGGAATTGTAGCATTAGGACAGAAAATCTTTTCCTAATCTATACAGTAGGGAAAAGAAAAAGGCAGAGATCTCCTCCAGATAAGCCATTTGTGTATATATCTACATAATTTTCCACTCTTAATTTCTTCTATTATTCAATAAACCGGTGGGAGTCTAAATTAGTTCAACCATTGTGGAAGACAGTGTGGTGATTCCTCAAGGATCTAGAAATAGAAATACCATTTAACCCAGCAATCCCATTGCTGGGTATATACCCGAAGTATTATAAATAGGATTATAAACTGTTCTATTACAAAGACACATGTACACGTATGTTCATTGTGGCACTGTTTACAATAGCAAAGACTTGGAACCAACCCAAATGCCCATCAATGACAGACTGGATAAAGACACTGTGGCACATATACACCATGGAATACTATGTAGCCATAAAAAGGATAAGTTAATGTCCTTTGCAGGGACATGGATGAAGCTGGAAATCATCATTCGCAGCAAACTGACACAAGAACAGAAAACCAAACACCACATGTTCTCACTCAAAAGTGGATGTTGAACAATGAGAACACATGGACACAGGGAAGGGAACATCATACACCAGGGCCTGTTGGGGGGTGGGAGAGCTAGTGGAGGGATAGCAAGGGGTGGGGGGACTGGGGAGGGATAACATTAGGAGAATTACCTAATGTAGATGATGGGGGGATGGATGTAGCAAACCACCATGGCATATACCCATGTAACAAACCTGCACAATCTGCACATGTACCCTAGAACTTAAAGTATAATTTAAAAAATAATAAAGAATAAAAGATAACCAGGAAAAAAAGGTAAAAATGAATGCTCCTGGTAAGTAAGAGATACTTGTACAGAAATGTTTGGGTCTTTATCCAACAAAAATCCCCCAGCACCTAAGAGAACAAATTACATAAGTTAAATATAGTTACATTTTACCCATCCAAGTAGCTGCCCAGGATCTCGGATAATCATACCTGTGTATAGACAGGTACCAGGAAGAGGACATGGATTGATAATTGTTTCTCATCTTGCTCAAAAAAGGGAAAAGTATGCCATACATAGTTACTAACTAAAAGGATTAACTCAGAAAGACTTTACGAGGCTCCTTTAACACTCTACTAGTAATTATATCTCAATTAAAGCTATATTATGCTAATGAATACAAGTCATTAAAGTGAAGCACCTTGAAGTTAAAATTCAAGCTCCTTAGAATGGTGGTTACCAGAGGATTAGAAAAGAGGAAGGGGAGATGAAAAGAAGTTGGCTAAGGGGTATAAAAATACAGTTATATAGAAGGAATAAGTTATCGTATTCAATAGTATGGTAGGAAAATTACAGTTAATAATAATTTATTATATATTTCAAAATAGAAAAGAAGAATTATAAGATCCTAAGACAAATAAAAGATATATGTTTGAGGTGATAGATATCCCAGTTATCCTGATTTGATCATTACATATTATATACAGGTATCAAAATATCACATGTACCCCCAAAACATGTACAACTATTCTATATCAATAAAAAATTAAAAACTTCAAGCTCTTTTTCCAGCACCATTAAAGTTTTGCAAAATCATGAGACTGCCCCAGATTTTTCACTGAGAAAGCAAGACTTGCCTTCCAGCTAATAACATATCACTACATACTAGAAAATATGTTTTCCATAAGAAAAGAAGGCGAGTAGGACTACTATTCCCTGCTCATATGAGGGGCAAAATTACTGGGCGTAATTCCTCCTGATTATGTTTAGCAAACTTTTTCTGTGCTTCTTTCCCATCTTCCGTGAGATATTATATAGAATAATTAAGAGCTCCAGCTCAAAAGCCACTGTAATCAAGCAAGAAAACTTTTATGAAGGTTTCTTGGAATAATACATTTCTTTTCATTAGGGAACACAAGTTGGATTGTCAGTGTAGGCAATGAATGAAAGAGAGGTTATCTAATCATATTTCCTACCTCTGTATCTCGAGAATCCTGAAAGACAGGGCTTCTCTTACTCCTTTTGGGCTGGGGGGAATGATGGTTGCCCTCTTTATTGCCATTTCTTCTTTTCCTGAAAATAAATTGCAAAGAGAGAGGAAAATATGTCATCTAACAATTAATCTTTTGGACGCTTAAACTGCAAAGCAGTGACAACATATATATATATATATATATATATATATATATGAGACCTTGCCTGAAAAAATATGTCACTATCTGCTATCCCAAGATATAAAAGTCTTAAGTACTCCATTACCAGGCATGAAGATAAAAAATGTAATACAAGAACTATAAGTAAAGTCAGGCTATAAATTTCATTTCTAGAAATAATTTTCATAACTTTAAGTGACCCTTGAAAATAAAGTAAGAACATGAGGAATTTAATAGCTAACTTTTCAAAATCTACCTGATCAGTTTCATTGTCTTGACTCCATGAAGTTACATTTCCAGGGTAAGTGATGTTTTAATCCCTTCCACTAGATAACACTTAAGATATGTATAACTGCCAGTGTCTATTTACTAGTAATTATAGCTCAATTAAAGCTATATTATGCTAATAAATACAAGTCATTACACTTGTAATGGTGTAGGGACACTGAAGAGCTATTTCTTGTATGTTGAATGTGGTTAGGCACTTACTGTTGCTATACCAACTAGTATTATGACATAGTAGTTACTCCACTAGATTGTCACTGATTACTTCCTTCAGATTGTGGCCTTTTACTTCCTTGAGATACTCTTTTTTCAAAATTGTTTTTAATGATTGGTAAGATTACATCTTCAGTCTCAAGTTCCTTGTCAATAAGTAATCAGATTGCAGCATTTGACATAATTTTCATAGCACTCTATTATGAATCAGACATTCTCCCCAGCCATCTGCTTAGAGACTACTTTTGAGTTTTTGGTACTTCTAAGAATGGCTGAGTTTACCCATTTTTATAATTTCATTACTCTTTAATCAATTCTCACCTTTGGGACACTGAGTACTGATCATGTAGCACAGTGATTTCCAACACTCTGTTAAATTAAACCACTTTCTTTAAGAAACTAAAAGCAACATATAATAGGAAAAAAAGGAGTTCCTGTACTAGGAACAGGGGCTCTTTAACCACATCCCTCCCTAGATCTGCTTTCCTGTGACACCCACTAACATAGCCTGAACTCTTCTTAAAATTGAGGAAAGAGCAGGCCCAGAGAAGCAAAGTTACTCAGACAGTAAAATGAGGAAGGGTGTAGAGCTAAGGCTGGAAGGAAAGGTTTCTTTAGCCTTGGCCCAAGGTCCTCCACAAAAGTTTCAGGAAGTAAAAGCTAATGAAGAACTGCATGTCCCAATCAAACAATATCTTTATGATAAAGAACTTGCCAGTATAAATGAATCCAGCTTATTTGTATACAGTGTTTAAAAAGGCACTTTTTTTTTTTTTTTGCAGGAAATGTGATTTTTTTCCCCCAGACATGTGTGAGGCATGCCAAAGCAGTTTTAGTTGGATTTGGGGAAAGACCTTTGTAGTCAGATGAGGCTAGCTTCCTATATACTGTTTACTGTCATATGTCTGTGCCCCTAATTCCAAGAGCATGTTGGTAATTTGGCCCCTGAATTCATAGTTAGTGTATTTTCCTTTATATTGCAAGCTCCTCATTACATGATCTAAATCAGTGCAGCAGGCTCTGTTGACTAGCTTTTCACCACTGGCCTAAATAACCTTAGGATGCCTTCCAGAAAATAACCTTAGCATGCCTTTCAGAAAATAACCTTAGGATGCCTTTCAGAATCTCAGTTCTATGAATTGATCCAGGGTAGGGTCTTTTTTTTTGAAAGATAGGCAATATACTAACAGCTGATCAAAATATGGAGCAGCAATAAAAGATCCACCGCATCTACCAAGGAAATTCTAGGCTACATCTTACAAAAGCCTCAGTGAGATTATTATGAAATGAAAGAAAGAGCTTCGAACCTAGAAAGATCTGGGCTCTGTCCTGAGTCTGTTACCAACCAAGTAAATGCACTTTGTCAACTGAAATGGCTGAGGCCAATAAAACGGATTTTTAAGATATCCTAATAACACAGGCAAATGCTGACTACAAAATGCCAAATAAAAAATCATGTAGAAAACTTGCTATATTATACTCCACTACGAAATGAGTGATTACATACAGAAAAAATGACTGGATGTAAATATTATTTTATTTCACAATGTTTATTTTTTATTTATTTTATTTTATTTTTGAGATGGAGTTTCGCTCTTGTTACCCAGGCTGGAGTGCAATGGGCGGGTGGATCACGAGGTCAAGAGATCGAGACCATCCTGGTCAACAAGATGAAACCCCGTCTCTACTAAAAACACAATGTTTATTGAGCATCCAGTAAGTGCTAGGCACTCCTCCAGGTGCCCAGGATAAAATAGTAGAACAAACACAAGCCACAGCTCCTGCCTTCATTAGGGAGCATGGTGATGGTTGTCTTTGATCATGGTATTTTGAATATTTTGCGCTCAAGTTTTACTGAAACTTTCAACAGCTCACAATATGTTTGCATTGTTTTTAAAACAGACTAAAACTATCAAAACGGTTTTTCAAAGTGTGAAGCTGAGTTTAAAAAGCGGGATGTTTAAATCATCATACGACGTTAATCTCATTTGTTTAGAATGCAACTTTATGAATGAAAAACATCCAAGGAAATTTATCACAAAATACGATTAATGGTCATGGCTGGGTGATCAGACTGTGGGTAAGACTGGCTTTCTTATTGCACTTTAAAGTCTAAGTTTTCTACAATGAGATTCAAAGACGTTTGTAATGAAAGAATACACTGATAAAGGTACATAGAACCCCAGTATCACGTAGAGAAAGATGACAAAACCAACCAGGGAAACAAAAATACTAGTTGCCAGGGTACCTAACAGCCTCACCGAAGAAATGCCAATTTGAAAAACAGAATGGTATTATTGTCCACTGACTGAGTTTTCACAAGGGGCCACGTCTCCCCACCTCACCCCCGCCTCCAGGGCTTGTAAGGCACCGACCACCAAAGAACCAGCATTTTCTTTCGGAGAACGCTTCGCGGCATTTTTTTCAAGTGCGAAGGGCTGGGCTGAGGCTAGCAGGGCCGTTTCGCGGAGCAACACTGCTACCTCCAAGTCCTGCGAGCCGAGTGCCACAAACCCCGGAGGAAAACACATCTCCGCTGCGTAACCGCCCCGAGCCAAGCCCCGAGATCTTGGCTGAGAAAGCAAAGCGTGATGACGGTGGGGACCAGAGAATGGACTGGTACCGGTCGGAAAGGCCCCGACGAACCTACCGTACAGGGCAGCCTCCCATAGTCTTGCCCTCAGAACCATAGCAACCGCGCAAGAAGTTTCCGCGCCGCCGGAAAAACGCAGCCCGGAGGGCGGGGCTGGCCTACGATTGACGGGCTCTGGGCCTGCGCTTCGGAGCCCGGGGAGGTCCCTGAGGGTGGGGGACAGATGTGGAAAGTGGCTGATTCGAGACCTAAAGATCCGTACCATAAAGGAAACCTAACCCAGCTAGGGGCTAAGTGACCCTGCAGCTGATGCTGCGGAGCAGACAGCCCTGGACAGGGAACTTTTAGACTTCCATGTTTGTCTCTGCATTGCGCAATTTTAACAAGAATCCTGCTAAGTCAGTTTAGTTAGAATTCTCCACCCTCAATATCTCAGTTAGGTTCCTCATCCCACAGGTGATGTCTGGTCACCGGAGTCCACCTTCACCAAGAATCCTCTTAGCTCAATTTAGCCAGAATACCCCCTTACCCTTGGTGTTTCTGCTTGGTAATTTTCCATCCATTGCTCCCCACCCTGCTTTTTGGCTATAAATCCCCGCTTTTCCTTGTTGTATTTGGAGTGGAACCAAGTTTCTCTCCCCTCACTACATAACACCCCATTGCAGTGGTCCCTACACCTATCCTGATGGATAAAGTCTGCCTTACCATTCTTTAATAAATGTCTTGAATAATTTTTTCCTTAACCAATTCACTTGGATCCCCATGCCTTTCCACATTCTCAAGGAATAAGCTTTCGTAATGATTATTCCTTTTACTTGAATCACCACGTTCTCCATGTCTATCGGATCATGCTATCATCTACAAAGTGGGCAAATAGATGGTTAGAAGTGAGGGATTTTGTGTTTTAGAGCTGATCGTGGTTACTGCTGTATGGTAGGTGAGACCCCATGGGGCTGAATTATCTGAGGAAGGTTGTGGGTGGGGGGAGCTGGAGGGTATGCAAAGTGGCTGATTCAAGAGCCAGGAGTGCTACCATGAGGCAAGCCTCAGCCAGATAGGGGCTAGGTTACCCTGCAGCTGAGGCTGTGGAGTGGACAACCCCGGCCAGGGGCGGAACGGAGGATGAAGCTCAGATTCAGAGGGGTCTGCCAAAGCTGGCACAGATGGGTCGAGACTGAGTCAGCCAAGGAGCACCAGATTCTGACCAAGATGAGAGACAAAAATGCAAGTTACACCAGCCACAGACATGTGTGAGCAAATGAACATCATCAGCAGGATTTGGGAGATAAGTTAGCCTTCCTTCAGAAACCACTGAAAACACTGCAATCAACATGAGACTCCTAAGCAATGCAGACCCTGTATTAGGCCATCTTGCATTGCTGTAAAGAAATACCTGAGTCTGGGTAATTTAAAAAGAAAAGAGGTTTTAATTAGCTCATGGTTCTGCACATTCTACAGAAAGCATGGCACTGGCAACTCTATTTTGAGTGAGGGATAGGAAAAATGAGGCTGGGACTGGCTTAGCTGCATTCTCAGAAAGTTAATTATTTCTAGCCTCTAGAGGTTTATGGTTAAGGGAACAGATTCATAACATTTACTGAACAGACCCAGACTTAGGAGTGTTCTGATATCCTGATAGCTTGAGAACAGAAGCATTCGTAATTTTGCTTTAAAGACCATAATATCGATTCTTGCAAAATATAGTAATTAAGAAGATTAATCCTTTATCACAAACCCTTGTAGAAGAGCATATCTCCCCATGATCTTTTTTCATCCTGTATATAAATGAGTATTTTACCTAGGGTGGACACATTCCTTCTCTTACTTTTGGGAACACCCTACTCTGTCTATAGAGTAGCTGTACTTTTCACCACTTTACTTTTTTTTTTTTTCTTTAGATGGAGTTTCGCTCTTGTTACCCAGGCTGGAGTGCAATGGCGCGATCTCGGCTCACCGCAACCTCCGCCTCCTGGGTTCAGGCAATTCTGCCTCAGCCTCTTTAGTAGCTGGGATTTCGGGCACACGCCACCGTGCTCAGCTAATTTTTTGTATTTTTAGTAGAGACGGGGTTTCACCTTGTTGACCAGGATGGTCTCGATCTCTAGACCTCGTGATCCACCCGCCTCGGCCTCCCAAAGTGCTGGGATTACAGGCATGAGCCACCTCGCCTGGCCCACTTTACTTTCTTAATAAACTTTCTTTTGCTTTGCACTGTGGACTCACCCTGAATTCTTTCTTGGGTGAGATATAAGAACCCTCTCTTGGGATCTGGATTGGGACCCTTTTCTGGTAACAGCTTCTGCTCAGCTTCTAGGGAGGTCTCAGGAAGCTTTTGCTCTTGGTAAAAGGTGAAGTAGGAGCAAGCACTTC